CCGCCGACCCTTTTAACGTGCGTTCACGCCGTGCATCGTTGCCTGTTTGTGTGCAAGACGGGCACCGGGGGCCTTCATGGTGACGGCTCATTTCACCGCGAGTCGGCGTGCCTTTTTCGCTCGGCTACGGCTCGATAGCTGAGTCTGTCGATTACCCGTTAAGAGTATATGTTCTGAAGCCCACGTGCTGCGCGACGTTCAGCCCAATGTTTGTCGGGTCCTTTTATATACTATATGTGGTTCATGTATGTCTGTGTGTGTATGTTGTATGTATGTTTAATTATTAATACATATCAATATATCCCATTAATAAAATAATATTATCTACCGTATAAAGTCTGAAGGAAACTCGCTGTGAAATGTTTTGGTTTTAATAGGATCGGATCAGATGATTAAATGGCAGCAAAATAAGATTAGAACAAAACAAAAATGTCAAAGCCGAACACAATAGACCAGCGAACAAAATAGATGCGATTTAACTATAGAACTATAGAACTACATAACAATAGATAACTAAAACAATAGCGCCATTCATGTATATATAGGTTATGGTATGTATATAAGGTGTATTCTTCATTAAAGTCTGTCTAATGATCACGTAAGCGTGAAACTCGGAGTAACAGCTAAAAGTGATGTCTTGTCTTTAATTTATCTACAGACTACAATTACGCTCTGCAACTTAATGCATCGAGCACTCTACCGACAGTATAGACTCAGTATATATATATAAATATGCATGTATATGTAATTACGTACCACATCCTCATTCTGATCATTAGGCAACCTGCAATAAATGTAAAGATCCACACACATGCGTGCATGCGCACACACACAGACGCATACGCACGCACGCGTGCACGCACCTACCACAGGCTGTGCACTACACAATGTATGTGTATATATATATATATATATATATACAATGTATTATGTGTAAAGTGCGAATCATTGGTCCACCCTTGCTTACTTGCAGGCGGTGTTAGTACGCATCTTCGTACCAGCTGTGCTCGTGGCCGCCAGCCTTGCCTTGGCTGCCTCCTCCATACCCTCCACACAGGAGCCAACGAAATACACGTTCCACAGCGTCACCTACAACACCTGGGACGTGCTGTACACGAACTCGTCGCCGTCCAGCGTGGATGCTCTCTTGTCGGGGCTGACCTCACAGGGTCTAGACGTGGCGCGGATGGGCAACTATGATGACCTGCTGAACGTGGGAGTGCACTACCAGGCGATGGACGTACACCAGTTTGACACGGGGGGAGAGGTGAGCGGAAGATTCTGCATTGTTGAGTTGTAGTCCATAGTGAACCACAATCTGAACAGCTTACTAGTATGCGTTATAATCAGAGCAGTAAGTGTGACAGTTTAAACAAAGTAAACGATTCATAAGGCAAGTAGTGATAATGACTAAATGTGTCAGAAACAAATATGTCATGGTCTATGAATATAGTGTTAGTCACAAGATAAACGTAATATTAAGGCACAGCTTATAAACAGTAAAACCATAATGGTCTCAACGAATCAAATTTTGCTAATTTTTTTAAATTATTATTAATTCAATTTATAATATAGTAAATTTAAATTTAAAAAAATACAATTAAAACAAATTATAAGCATTAGAGCAAATTATTGCATTATTGCATCAAGTCGCAATCCAAACGTGCTTAACATATGTATGTAATATCATAATCGTCACGTCCTTTCCACAGAACATGACCTGGACCGCCATCTATAATGACAGCGGGCTGCACGCGCTGCCAACACTGATGAACGCCGTGGCAACGGCACGCCTCCGCTCACTCGGCGCTGACGCGGCGGCGGCCATCGCGGCGTCTGTGCAACCGTGGCGCTCCCTGACGGGAGAGACGTTCACTTTTGATTTTATGTCGTTCTTCTCTGTCATGATCCTCGGTGTCGTGCTGACGATAGTTCCTGTAGGATTCGTCAGCGAGGTAGTCCAGGACAGAGAGGTGAGTGACTGCAGGGAGATGCTATCCACAGATAACACGTGGTCACGAGATGTTGGTGACTGCATGGTACCATCTATCTAGCTGTCTGTCCGCTTGTAGGCAGAATTTCTATGTTTGTATTGACAGACGAAATAATTCAAAGAAGTATTTCACTAAAAAAAATCCGTCGCAGTATAAAATTACTTGTAACGGGTTCCTATCAATCAGGAAATGATAGCATCTGTGTCTTGTTGTGGATAAAGTTTATAGTTGCACAGTACTCAAGTTTCATTCTTTTAATACCAATGCATGTGCAATCCACGAGTATGTATAGGTAGTTGAAGGAGATTTTATTGGTTTATTTATCTCTATTGGAAGAAGAACCGAAAGCATACCATCCACCTATGAATAGGCAGTCTGCGGCTTATATATCATAGCCATTGAACACATATATATTTATATACAGTATATATATATATATATATTATTATACAGTACGGTATTATACTATATTAGTACTTGTGTTGTACTTACCAACTGCCACCACCTATAGGATAAGTTTACGATTGCTATTGCAACGTGTGCTGTTACAACCTGCTGGAGCGTCTTAATGCTCTGACTGTTTGTTTCAGTTGCCGATGCTCCAGTCAGTAGCGTATATCCGCGTACAAAGCTGTTCCGTCTTACTGGGCAAGCTTCTTTGTCATGCACATGTGATGCTGCTGCCTCAATACCTGGTCATCCTCTGTATCATCGTTGTGCTACGTACATTAGATGCTCGACATCATCAACCCGAACGTGGACACTCGAGAGTAATTCACGAAAAATCTGATGTTTTTAATTGCCAGCACGTGACACTTCAGTTTTTGAACTCATCTCCATGGGCCTCTAAAACATCACCTCTCCACCACTGTCTCTGTCCTGTAACCTTTCGCCGATTGGGGTTATTTTTATCTTTCCTTGTTGCAAATGTTTTAGTCGTCATCATATTGCCCTTCATTCCTAATAGTTTTGCACATTCACGCGAATATAGCATGTTAGTTTCAGTTGAACCTCGAATTCAACGGCATTTAACTTATAGTACGGCTGCAAACTTCACGTTCTGTAATTGATGTCATAGCATGTCACAGTCGTATAGTACAGGTACGTTATCGCCACTAGCATAATATATATATATATACTATTATATATAATATATATAATATACAAAATAGTATATACATCATACAGTCATAATATAGCTTCAGTGTGTTTTTTTTACAGCTTCTGCGATTGGAATTATAACTGGTAATTTCCCTAATTTGGTCTCTTGGACAGTGTCATTCATAGGAGGTGGTGGAGCCGGTCACAGACGAGGCAGTAAACCCAAAGGCTGATATCGTTGATTACGTAATCCCCTTGTTTGCGCATTGCAGGATGTGCGCCATTCCAGGTGTCAGTGTTTAGCTCGGTTCGGGCCATTCGTGAGTCGCTGCTGCCTTGTTTCATCATCTGCATGCTTGGCCTGCTCCTGTTTGCCTACGGCGTATCGTTCTTGTTTACAAGTCGAGACAGCAGGAGAGACGTTGTCATTCTCTGCAGCCTTCACTGGTGGAGGTCCGTAACCATTGGTTACTTTTGTAGCTTTCATTGGCAGCGAGTCACGTTGCTGGTCGGTCATTGTAGAGCCACGTTGCATGCCTTGTGCCTTTGTATCTGTGCCGGTAATTAGACCTATCAATGTGCTATGTTGAGACCACCATCTTCGTTCGAGTTTAATTCGACGGTTATTTTTTAGCCTCACCTTGACATCGTCAAGATGAGCTATTGCCATGGAGGCGCTTGTCCTTCGTACGATCCGTCCATCCAGCCAACATTGAACTACCGGTCAACGATAACTTGACCAACGCGTTTGACCACATGTTTCAAATTGGCATACAGTTGTTACTCCTATGAGGAGAGGTGTGAACGTCCTATTTTGGGGCACGCCAGCATTGAGACCTGTACTTTCGAGCCATGCCCACCTTTTTGGCAAAAATGGAAATGGCCATAAGTCGAGTTCAGGTTCAACGGATTTTGCTGCCGCATTTGCCTCACCTTGACTATCGTCAAGTTGAGCTATTGCCATGGGTCGTCGTTCCGTCGTGTCGCCGTCCGTCCGTCAAATTTGGTTTCGGGTCAACGATAACTCAGAGAACCGTTTGATCCACAGTGTTTCAAATTGGGTGTAGTCCTGCTTACGTTGCTATGCCTCCCAATATGGAACGTTCCCTATTTTGAAGCACGGCCAACGTCGACGCTACTGTTTCGAGACACGGCAATTTTTTGGCCAAAAATGGGAATTGCCATATTAGTCAGTTTCAGGATTCAAGGATTTTTGCTCATTTTTGGTATGTGAATGATAAGGGGCTAGGGGTTTGATAGTTTAAAAAAAAATTATTGCCAATTAGTAGGGGCATTTGGCATTTTATATAGCCATTATTAATATAAACACAAAAACAGTCTGTGGTGTCACACTCGCTGGCCTTCCTGTTTACATGATTTCATTGACATATTCTTTAATGCAAAATTGGTATTGTCACATCTCCACTCTGCCACGATAAACCGTTTTATACTTAGAGGTAAAGATTTACAAAACATGTCGGAACGCAGCATAATCTATCTTATTTCAGCCGCCATCACTACAAGGGGTTATATAGCGCTAATCACGGTCACAAATGTGTGATTCATTTTGGTTTAGAAATTTATTATTGCGATATACAGATGGCAATGCTTTTCTATAACTGTACGTCCGAATGAGGTTGATCAATTAAAACTGACTTCTTCTTACTCACTCATTTCTGTCCTTTTTTGTGGTGAGCTACAGTGTCATTAACACTTTCATTTTTGGTATGTGAATGAATAATGACTGGCCCCAAAATATATCACCGGGGTTTTGCTATTTTTTTTGATTGAGATCGAGTTGTCTTTGCAAGATTCTCCCTCCCTGATCTCTCTAACGTCATCTGGGCTGTGGGGTTGGCCAATTATTAGGGTGACTCACTGGAGGTGCACGGCTGGGAGTCAGACTGAGAGCCGGTCATTGCATGCTCAGTAACGTCAGCATGGGTTCCGTGTTGCTGTCATTCCAATGCCGCACGCACTCGTCTTTGTTCCTTCGTCGTGCATCCAATGCATTATCTGCAGATATTGTCAGTGCATCCCCCTTCTGACCTTGAAGTCTCGTCAATCGATGAACGCATGGACGTTTGATGATATGAGTATCATGGTGTCGTATACTGTAGCGTATTTATGGTCGAATGCTTGATCGCTGTGTGCAGGCAATCTACTTACCGTACATCGCCGTCTCGATCATGGACACGGTGGGCGCGAGTGAAACTGCTAGGATCGTGCACATCGTCTGCATCATCTTCGACCCCATGTACACACTCATCGGAGGGCTCTACTACGTGAGCAAGGTGAGCATCCGACATCGTCACACGCTGGCCCTCCCAGTTCAACCTCGCATCTGTTGATTGCTGTTACAAGTGTACCGACATCCATGCGAGGTAACCATGCATCACTTGGAAATTGTTGCGTTCTCAGCCTAGCTAGTCCCGTTTTCATGTGTTTTCACCCTTATTTTGTGCTTGCGGTCACTGACAGAAAGCTCTAGCCAGTCAGCATTGCACGCGTTCTAAATAATACGCTTTGTAATAAAGCTGTGTAAAAGTGGTTCAAGGACGATAATTTGGCTGAAATTTGCAGAAACGCTTTAACTGGTCTAGGATTACCAACCTAACAACAGGACTCAAGTGGTGCATGATTATCGTACTGAAACAGAAGTCCATTTTGTTGTACTTGATTGAGGATTTCTTGATTTATGGAGGTGATGCAGGTATGAATGCAATAAAAACAAACTATAGTAATAGAAGGAGAGAATTTTTTATATTTTTTTGGAAATTAAAATGAGTTAACAATGTTGGATGCAAATGATTGAATTGCAAGCAAAGCATGCTTTATTATTCAGTACTGCAAATTAAAATTACCACAACAGGTAAGTTGGTAGCTTAACCCACTACTTACTAAATATATACTACATTAATTCCTGCACAGATCCACTTAGATCATTAACACACTTGCAATATTAGTAGCGTAAACATATCTTAGTGTAGCTAGATGTGTGTATACAGATATATTTGTGGTACTAGTACTTAGTATTAGTAGTAGTAAGTAGTTGTAGTAGTAACTTCTGTACTGATTGTAACTGTGAACATATCAGGTTCATCTCTCCGCCAGCATTCTTGGAATCGAGGAGACACCATCCATGTACTTCGAGTGGTCAAGCAACATTCCTGTTACACTTCTAGTGGTACGTTCCAGCGCTAGTCTGACTGAACGTGTTGCCCTCCCGCATTAAATTTGTTACCAACTCTGTACATCGACATGTCAGTCAATTCCTCTGAGAAGCTCTTAAATGATATCGTTTATATGAGGTCAATTCTGCCCCTCAGATTCTGTAGATACACGTTCTGTTTTTGCCATTCAATAGTTACGGTTGGGAAAGTGTGGGCCGAACAGTGCCCACATTATGCAAGTATGTGGCCCTTTTTTTGCGTTTTAGTCAATATCGAAGAGAAACGATGGGCACTGCTATATTAGATTTAGCTTACACTTGCACCTGCCATCTCAGCGCAGTTTTCGTTGCCACAACTGAGCTATAGAAATATACAAACATGGCTATGTTAAATATATCAAAACCCATCTATCGCAGCCTACTCCGAGTTGCCTACTCCATCATGCCCTCTTTTGCCATCAACCACAGATATCAGACAGTCATTGTCGCTCTGTGGCATTTGTTTTACAGAGCACAGTTCACCTGTTTGCGCTCACACTCCTACTCAGGGTGCTTGTCATCCGTAATACAGGGGGCGCCATCAGCGACGCTTTTCGTCTGGGCACGTCCAAGCGCCAGATCAGGTGGGTTAAAGGACTGTGAAGGCGTGATGGGGGATTCTGTGCATTTATCATTTTATTCAGTTAAACTGCAGGACACTGATGCTGTTGAATTGTTGTTAAACAACCACACACTGATCCTATGATTTGATTTGATCTTTTGTTTTGTTAAAATACTACACGCTTGCCTAATTGTTCCAGAATAAATTACTGTCTGTATTGATAACAATAGCTTAGACTTATATTCGCTAACAACTTCTCTGTATCAGTGCTGTGCTCACGACGTCTTGTCTTGCATACCCCCTATGCAGGTTACCGAAGTCATGCCTCCCACCAGGGGAGAACGAGGATGAGGATGTTAAGGAGGAGAGGGAGAGAGTGGCAAGGTTGGCCAGTGACACCACAGGACAGTACGCGCACACTCCTCAGGTACGCCTCGTGCCTTCAGTGTCAGTGACGGCACGTCCTCTTGTTTTAATGCCTGATGCGTTTTTCTTCAGTCGATGGTTCGGTTTCGGGAATTGTATTGCAGCTGTTGCGTAGTAGTCGCTTAGTCAATTTTGGAGAATACCAAGCAGTAATCGTTTGTCACAGCGATTCGCATTTCATGTGTAGTCTCACTTTGCATGTGTAGTCCTGAAACAACCTTCATGTTACTGTCAGAATTTTTCACCAATGTTAGGATTAGCACATCACAGAGTTAGAGTTTAGTCATAAGATTAGCGTACTATTGGAGATGAGAAAATTATGGTTGAGCGGAACCTGCACTATTATCTGCAACTAAAGTTGGAGAGAGGTTTTCGCAAAGTTACCACTTTTTTGACAATGCCCTTGGATGAAAACTTTCTTGTAATTTCTCTTACAGTGGGTGGGCTGTGTATCGGTTGTCAGCGTGGGGTTATGCACAGCAGTACAGTAGGTGGGTTTATACTTACACAATGGCTGATTCGTGACCCTCATAATGAAGTGTCGACGTTTCCATTTGCAGCGATGTGAATTATTCGACAGTGATCTCTCCTCTGAAGATGAATATGTGAGCCCAGACATGCCATTGTTAGCAGCAGGTGGCTCCTTCCATGCGCGAGTACGCTCGCCAAACCCCAATTATGGGAACCACTATGTAAATTTTATTTTGCCAATGTAGTGCTGGTGATTGGAAAAACAGGGTGCTAATGGTAGCTTGAAATTACACCTGATATCATCAGGAGCAATGCGAAATAATAATAATAATGCTGTGTGTGTTGGCAAAAATCTGCAATTGCTTTTGTATGTTGTATTAAACGATGGCCGTCTTTGGAAATTCTATTAACGGATAACTTATATACCAACAGGGAAATCATGATTTAAGGACAACAAAACACAGTTTTGTTTTACATTATCAAAATTCCATCAAGGTTGATATGAAACGTGTACAGTTAGAATTGAACTGGGATCAGCAGGGGAACATGTACACGTTTATCGTATGTGATGCACTCAAACCTTGTGTCTCTCTGGGTTAGGCACTATCGTCATGTCCGGCTCCATCTCCCCTATCAGCATAAGCAATGAGCTTCTTATTTTGTGTGCGTGTATGTCTGTATGTGTGTTAGAGCTCTTGATAAATACCTAGAAATCATAGTCAAATGTCTGTCCCTGTAAAGCATTCATCGTTCGTGTTTTATGTAGCTTTT